GACAGGAGATGGAGTGCCCCAGCCAGGCTGGTCCTGCCCAGGTTAGAGTTCTTGTAAAGCACCATCTGATTGTGTGTTTTCTGGTGGCTACAATAAGCTGATTTTTGGAGGAGGGACCAGGCTGGCTGTACAACCATGTGAGTATGACCCTGCAAGTGACCAGTGCAAAAAGAACTGACCACTTGTCTATGAGAAAACAGGTGATGATTTATAGCAAATTTGGGGATCTATTGAGAAGCACTCATTTTCCATTTCTACAAGCTCTCTTGGTGACATAAAATGTTCCCATTTCTCATACTAAACACAGAAGTGCCAAGAGCCAACTGGGTAAATGAAAATCTGAGCAGAATAATTTATAGAAACATAAAAAGAGTTCCAAATACTCAGTGCTTTCAAGCGAAGCTGATAATATCGGCACCAGATAATCTGAACATTCAGGAAATTAGCAAAGTGCCCTTGGGGGAAAGAGATGAGTTAATGGCAAACACAAATTCTCTTTTATTGCAGCAGGTAGCTAAATTCCCTGAAGTGGCTAATAAACATGGTATGGGGATCCCTACCCATAGCATCTTCCTCTCTGGAGTTAGGAGAGTTTTCGACTTCCTCCTAAGGGTAAAAGTGGCCCAGACTCCTAACTGAAGGGCAAGTATACCACATGCAATTACAAGGTATAGAGGCAGCAGTGTATAGGGAGGCCCACAGACCTGGGGAAAACTCGGGCTCTACTCTCACCAGCTGTTTTCAATAAAGCCTCCACTTTCTCAACAGCAAAATGACTGTAACTACATCATAATAATATGAGATAATGGCCAGAATGTAAAAAGTGATCAATAAGTAGTAGCTTTTCTAAAATATTATTATAATTATTATTACTGAGGCTTTGCTTATACTAAGGTTTACACTATCATAAAGGGAAAGGGGAATCGCTTCCGTGGGAAGCACTAAAGACCCAGTGAGCCTTTCAGAATGTTGCTCTGAGACCCCAGTGGGTTCCAGCAGATTAGCATCAAGAAGGTTATCTCAAAGACCTTACCCACAGTGGGGGTACAGCAGTGCTTCCAAGATAACCTTTGGATCAGGGACCAGACTGAGCATCCGGCCAAGTAAGTAGAATGAAGCAGGAGAGCAAGGGAGGATGGACAACTATTTCTTCTTTGTCCAAAATGCCGACTTGAGCCCAGGTATTTTCCTCTGTGGGCTCCCAAATAGTTTCTTCCACCCATCCCCAGGAAATCCTCCCATCCAGCACTCAGTGCTCTGCAGACATCATCCTTAGGCTGGGACCTTAGGAACCATGAGGCAGGCGATGAGCAAGGACTCCTGAACCTTCCACAAACGTATCCAAGATACTGCTGCCTGGAATTGAGGTTTTTGTTCTACTGAATTCTTAGTTAACGGAAACCATATGAAATCACAACCTCAGCCCAGGGAACCACAGCAGAGTGGAGCAGGAGGAGAACTGTACATATCAGAAGCAAAATTTCAGTGCAAAAGAGCAGAAGGTCTAACTCTTAGGAGTGTGATTCTCCTGCCTTGTGGGGGAGATCAGTGTTTCTCTTATTTAAGTAACAGGTAGGTCCTGTGAGTTTCTGCAATGGTGTCACCCGTGGTGTGAATACTGGAGGAACAATTGATAAACTCACATTTGGGAAAGGGACCCATGTGTTCATTATATCTGGTGAGTCATCCCAGGTGGCACCACTTGCAACCCCATGGGCCAATGTCACTAATCCTTTCTCTGGGGATATCACTTATTACCATGGTGAGGCTTGCTGAAGATGTTGTAACTAATTGTCTTACAGAGGTCTGGGAAGGGAAAAGCATCACTATCTGTCTTGAATATTCATGTTTCTCTAGGTCAAACACATTAAAATTTGATTTTAATCATTCAATGGATATTGTTAAATGCCTTCTATGTGACTATCACTCTATAAAATGCTAGACTGAGTATGAAGTGTAAGATAGATTCCTGTCCGGTCCTCAAGTGGTATAAAAACTAGACAAAGGTACAGAACTAGTATTGACCAGCTGATGATGTCAATGGACACAATAGAGATTCAGAGGGGATAGGGTGCTGGCTGAAAAGTTGGCCTAGATTGAGAAGTTTCATGTGGTACAAAGGATTCATTGAGCCCCGAAAGATGGATAAGATCTGTATGGGCAGAGAAAGGAGAGAAGGGGAGTTCTGGGCATAGGGAACAACAAGAAAGAAGGCATGATCTTGGGAATAATGAAGGCACATGCATTGTAGCCTAAGTATACATCTGATAATAAAATTGGTTGAAAAGTACTCAGAGAACATGTCTTTTTAGGCATGGAAAAAGGAAATACTAGAGCACAAGGATACAGAAATTAGGGCCGGGCCAGCCAGCCATTGGGAAACTGAGAATCCGATTTAGAGATGCAGACCAGAAGTGAAGGTGAGAGGAGCCAGCTACGGTGCTGCAGACCTCCCCTTTCCTTCCTCAGTGGGCTCTGAGAGGGATCATCCCACACCTTAGAGGAGGAGAAACCTAAGGGATTCTGTAATAGAGACACTGAGAGTGGTATGAAGGTGTTACCTCCCAGTAACAATTTGGCAAAGGAACCAGAGTTTCCATTTCTCCCCGTACGTCTGCCCATGCCCACAGTTTCCTGATGCTCACTAGAACCTCAGTGGGACCCAGAGCCAGTGTCACTAATTCTGATTTCTGGGTCCCTAGTGCCCAACTACAGGGGACAGATTTAATGGTAAGGGAGCTTTCAAGCACTGCTGTGTCCCTAGGGACCTAAAGCACTAGAGCACATGTGCTTCTGCAGTTCATTTTGAATGTAAAGGACAGTTTAGGATCTAGAATAGCTGAACTTCCACATCAAAAAATTGGTTCCGTCTTGCCAAGCCTGCCTTCTGATATTGTCAGTGATGGGGTGTGTTATTCTTACTAGGGTAGAATAGGATGTCTGTCCCCAAAGGGCTCTGGCAGACAGACCCCTAAACACCTCCAAATTAAAAGTGGCAAAGAGATAAAGTTGAACTAGAGGTACATGGGGATAAAAAGTATAAAAGGTACATGGGATGAAAGTATAAAAAGGCTAAAAAAAACTCAGTACCTCTAACTCAGCCCCTGTTGCCGTTTCTCGGAGTCTTGTGTTCCATGGCATTGCGCTTTCTATACCAACAGTGTCCAGTAGAACTTTCTGTGGCAATGGAAATGTTCTGTCAATCTCCACTGTCCCATGCAATGGCCACCAGCTACATGTGGCTATTGAGCTCTTGAAATGAAGTTTCCATTTTTAATTGAAAACATTTTATTTCACATTGACTAATTTTCATTTCAACAGCCACATGTAGCTAGAGACTATTATACTAGACAGAGCAGCCTAGACCTTCTCCAGTCTTGACACCCACTGGCCCCAGGACTTGAGTGAGTGTTTAATCAGGACTCAAAGTTGGGTTTCTGCCCCACAAAGCCGCCCACTTTCCCTGATCAGGGGCCACCAGATGCAGGTTGGCTTGAGGATCAGCACTTCCAGACTCTTCTCTCCCCCTCTGCAGTGCTGCCCAAGACCCCCACTGATGACTAACAATCAGGGGGACGTGTTGGTGGAGCTAATGGCTTTCTGTCTGTCCCTTCCCAGCAAAGGAACTATGCCTTAGGGCCTTCACCCAGAGAGATGTCAGGCTGCCCAAGTATAAGGAGGTTGGAGGGAAGTAGGCAGAATCCTCTGGAGCCACAGCTCTGGATGTCTCTCCCCTCTGACCATGGAGCCCACCCCCGCTCCACTGCTCCAGGGGCAGCCGCATGCTGCAGGCAACTCTGCCTCCACTCAGCATCCCAGGGGCTGATTTCTTTGGTTTTGGATCCAGCTGGATGTCGGCATTGCCGAGGCCACCATGGTTGGCTCAGCAACTGTCGGGGAATCACCAGGGTCTGAGAAATCTTGTGTGCATGTGAGGAGCTGTGGGAGCAGAGAACCACTGGGTGGGAAATTCTAATCCCCACCCTGCTGGAAACTCTCTGGGTGGCCCCAACATGCTAATCCTCCGGCAAACCTCTGCTTCCTCCTCAAAAGGCAGGAGGTCGGAAAGAATAAACAATGAGAGTCACATTAAAAACACAAAATCCTACGGAAATACTAAGGAATGAGTCTCAGCACTAAGGAAAAGCCTCCAGCAGGTCCTGCTTTCTGAGGGTGAAGGATAGACGCTGTGGCTCTGCATGACTCACTAGCACTTTGTCACGGCTATGTTCTGCCAGGGTCAATGGCTCCAACTAACATTTGTTTGGTACTTTACAGTTTATTAAATAGATTTTTATATGGAGAAGCTCTCATTTCTTTCTCAGAAGAGCCTGGCTAGGAAGGTGGATGAGGCAACATATTCATTTTGCAGATGAAATTCCTGAGACGTAAGGAGCTGCTGTGACTTGCTCAAGGCCTTATATCGAGTAAACGGTAGTGCTGGGGCTTAGACGCAGGTGTTCTGATTTATAGTTCAAAACCTCTATCAATGAGAGGGAAATCTCCTGGTGATGTGATAGATTTCCCAACTTAATGCCAACATACCATAAACCTCCCATTCTGCTAATGCCCAGCTTAAGTTGGGGAGACCACTAGTTTGCTTTGCTCGGCCTTCTTTCCATGCCTGCCTTTGCTCTGCCAGAGTTATATTGCTGGGGTTTTGAAGAAGATCCTATTAAATAAAAGAATAAGCAATATCATCAAGTAGCCCTGCATTTCAGGTTTCCTCGAGTGGCCGGCCAGGCCTGGCAGTGAACGTTCACTGAAATCATGGCCTCTTGGCCAAGATTGATAGCTTGTGCCTGTCCCTGAGTCCCAGTCCCAGTCCATCCCAAGCAGCTGGTTTCTAAAATGCTGTTTCCCATATAAAGCATGAGACCATGACTTGCCAGCCCCACGGAACCCCGTTCTTGTCCATCACTGGCATCTGGACTTCAGCCTGGGTTGGGCCAAAGAAGGAAATGAGATCATGTCCTAACCCTGATCCTCTTGTCCCACAGATATCCAGAACCCTGACCCTGCCGTGTACCAGCTGAAAGGCTCGAAATCCAATGACACCTCTGTCTGCCTATTCACTGATTTTGATTCTGTAATGAATGTGTCACAAAGCAAGGATTCTGACGTGCATATCACAGACAAAACTGTGCTAGACATGAGGTCTATGGACTTTAAGAGCAACGGTGCTGTGGCCTGGAGCAACAAATCCGATTTTGCATGTACAAGCGCCTTCAAGGACAGCGTTATTCCAGCAGACACCTTCTTCCCCGGCACAGGTAAGGGCGGCTTTGGTGCCTTCGCAGGCTGATTCCTTGCTTCAGGAGTGGCCTGGTTCTGCCCAGAGCTCTGGTCAACGATGTCTAAAACTCCTCAGATTGGTGGTCTTGGCCTCATCAATTGCCATAAAACCCTCTTTTTACTGAGAAACAGTGAGCCTTGTCCTGGCAGTCCAGAGAATGACACGGGAAAAAAGCAGATGAGGAAAAGGTGGCAGGAGAGGGCACTGGGCCAGCCTCAGTCTCTCCAACTGAGTTCCTACCTGCCTGCCTTTGCTCGGACTGTTTGCCCCTTACTGCTCTTCTACGCCTCATTTTAAAGCCCTTCTCCAAGTTGCCTCTCCTTATTTCTCCCTGTCTGCCAAAAAATCTTTCCCAGCTTATTAAGTCAGTCTCATGCAGTCACTCATTAACCCACCAACCACTGGTTGTGCCGGCACATGAATGCACCAGGTGCTGAAGTGGAGGAATAAAAAGTCAGATGAGGGGTCTGCCCAGAGGAAGCTCCATTCTAGTTGGGGGAGCCCATCTGTCAGCTGGGAAAAGTCCAGAAAACTTCAGATTGGAATGTGTTTTAACCCAGGTTGAGAAAGGGGAGGCCTGGGACAGGAGCTCAATGAGAAAGGAGAAGAGGAGCAGGCATGAGTTGAGTGAAGGAGGCAGGGCCAAGTCACAGGGCCTCCTAGGCCATGAGAGGGCAGACAGTATTCTAAGTATACCAGAAAGCTGTTGATCAGCTTCAAGCAAGGGAGGGACACCTAATTTGCTTTTTATTCTATTCTATTCTATTCTATTCTGTTTTGAGACGGAGTTTTGCTCTTGTTGCCCAGGCTGGAGTGCAATGGCGCATCTCGGCTCACTGTAGCCTCCGCTTCCCAGGTTCAAGCGATTCTCCCGCCTCAGCCTCCCGAGTAGCTGGGATTACAGGCTCCCACCACCACACCCAGCTAATTTTTTGTACTTTTAGTAGAGACAGGGTTTCACTATGTTGGCCAGGCTGGTCTCAAACTCCTGACCTCAGGTGATCCACCTGCTTCAGCCTCCCAAAGTGCTGGGATTACAGGCGTGAGCCACCACACCCGGCCTGCTTTTCTTAAAGATCAATCTGAGTGCTGTATGGAGAGTGGGTTGTAAGCCAAGAGTAGAAGCAGAAAGGGAGCAGTTGCAGCAGAGAGATGATGGAGGCCTGGACAGGGTGGTGGCAGGGAGGTGACCAACACCATTCAGGTTTCAAAGGTAGAACCATGCAGGGATGAGAAAGCCAAGAGGGGATCAAGGAAGGCAGCTGGATTTTGGTCTGAGCAGCTAAGTCAATGATAGTGCCATTTTATTAAGATGAAACCAAGGAACAAATTTGGGGTACAAGGATCAAAACTTTTTGGAACACATGAAAGTACCTGTTTATACTCTTTACGGCCCTTGTCACTGTGTATGCCTCACTGCCTCCATTGGACTCCAGAATGAAGCCACGCAAGAGCAGGGTCTATGTGTGATGGCACCTGTGGCCTATGTCATGCAACATGTACTTTGCACAAACAGTGTATATTGAGTAAATAGAAATGGTGTCCAGGAGCCAAGGTATCAGTCCTGCCAGGGCCAGGAGCTCTCCTTAGCATGTGCCCATGTGCTGTAAGCTCCCTCCAGATCTCTCCACAAGGAAGCATGGAAAGGCTGTAGATGTTCACCTGCCCAAGAACTAGGAGGTCTGGGGTGGGAGAGTCAGCCTGCTCTGAATGCGAAAGAATGTCTGTGTTTTTCCTTTCAGAAAGTGTCTGTGATGCCAACCTGGTTGAGAAAAGCTTTGAAACAGGTAAGACAGGGGTCTAGCCTGGGTTTGCACAGAGTTGCAGAAGTGATGAACCCACAATAATCCTGCCTGGATGAGGGAGTGGGAAGAAATGAGTAGATGTGCGAATGAATGATGAGGAATGGAAACAGCATTTCGAGACCCGCCCAGAGCTGGGTGGGGTCTCTCCTGAATCCCTCTCACCATCTCTGACTTTCCATTCTAAGCAGTTTGAGGATGAGTTTCTAGCTTCAACAGACCAAGGACTTTTTCCTAGGCCTCTGTATTCCTTACAACAGCTCCACTGTCAAGAGAGCCAGAGAGAGAGCTTCTGGGTGGCCCAGCTGTGAAATGTCTGACTCCCTTAGGGATAGCCCCAAACTAACCAGATCATCCTGAGGACAGTTTCACTCCACAGCCAAGAGGTTTTGCCTTCTTTCAAGAAAAGCAACAGTACTCACATAGGCTCTAGGCAATGGTCCTGTCTCTCAAGAATCCCCCACCACTCCTCACACCCACCCTGGGCCCATATTCATTTCCGTTTGAGTTGTTCTTACTGAGTCATCTCTCCCGTGGTAGCGGAACTCACTAAGGGGCCCCTATGGACCCCAGGGATTGAAATGATAAATTCTGAGCAGCTACCCCATCCCCAGAAGGGCTCAGAAATAAAATAAGAGCCAAGTCTAGTCGGTGTTTTTGTCTTGAAACACAAAATACTGTTGGCCCTGGAAGAATGCACGAACTATGTTTGCAAGGGGATATGCACAGAAGCTGCAAGGGAGAGGCGATGCAGGAGCCGCAGGCCTCCCCCACCCAGCCTGCTCTGCCTTGGGGAAAACCATGGGTGTGCCCTGCAGGCCATGCAGGCCTGGGACATGCAAGCCCATAACCGCTGTGGCCTGTTGGTTTTACAGATATGAACCTAAACTTTCAAAACCTGTCAGTGATTGGGTTCCGAATCCTTCTCCTGAAAGTGGCCGGGTTTAATCTGCTCATGACGCTGCGGCTGTGGTCCAGCTGAGGTGAGGGGCCTTGAAGCTGGGGAGTGGGGGTTAGGCACGCGGGTCTCTGGGTGCATCCTAAGCTCTGAGAGCAAGCCTCCCTGCAGGGTCTTGCTTTTAAGTCCACAGCCTGAGTGAGCCCACCAAACTCTTCTATTTCTTCCTGTTACAAATTCCTCTTGTGCAATAACAATGGCCCGAAACACTATAAAACATGTTCATTTCAGCCACCTCAGTTGAACTTCTCCCCTATGAGGTAGGAAGAACAGTTGTTTAGAAATGAAGAAACCGAGGCCACACAGCTAATGAGTGGAAGAAGAGAGACACCCGTTTACACCACATGCCCTGTGCTGTACTTCTCTCACCACGTGACCTAAAGGGACCTCCAAGGCCTCTCCTCATGTCCTCTCTCCCCATATGGCCCTCTTAGCTCAGTAGAAAGAAGACATTACACTCATATTATACCCTAATCCTGGCTAGAGTCTCCACGCCCTCCTCCCCCAGGGTCCCCAGTCATCTTGCTGACAACTGCATCCTGTTCCATCACCATCAAAAAAACTCCAGGCTGGGTGCGGGGCCTCACGCCTGTAATCCCAGCACTTTGGGAGGCAGAGACGGGGGAGCACAGGAGCTGGAGACCAGACTGGGCAACATAGGGAGACCCCGCCTCTACAAAAAGTGAAAAAATTAGCTGGGTGTGGTGGTGCACACCTGTAGTCCCAGTTACTTGAGAGGTTGAAATGGGATGATCGCTTGAACCCTGCAAGATCAAGGCTGCAGTGAGTTATGATCATACCACTGCACTCCAGCCTGGAAGACAAAGCAAGATCCTGTCTCAAAAAAATAAAAAAATCAGAACTCCAGGGTCCATTTGCTCCTAGAACTCTACCACACAGCCCCAAACAGAGCCATCTCCATCACACCCCTAACAGTCCTGGGTCCTCCTCAGTGTCCAGCCTGACTTCTGTTCTTCCTCATTCCAGGTCTGCAGGATTGTAAGACAGCCTGTGCTCCCTCGTTCCTTCCTCTGCATCGCCCCCCCTCTCCCTCTCCAAGCAGAGGGAACTCTCCCACCCCCATGGAGGAGAAAGCTGCTATCACCTCTGTGCCCCCCGGCAATGCCACCAACTGGATCCTACCCAAATTTGTGATTAAGATTGCCGAAGAGCTGCCAAACACCGCTGCCACCCCCTCTGTTCCCTTATTGCTGCTTGTCACTGCCTGACATTCACGGCAGAGGCAAGGCTGCTGCAGCCTCCCCGGCTGTGCACATTCCCTCCCGCTCCCCAGAGACTGCCTCCACCATCCCACAGATGATGGATCCTCAGTGAGTTCTCCTGGGCTCTAGGTCCTGGAGAATGGTGTGAGGGGTTTATATGTTTTAAATAGTGTTCATAAAGAAATACATACTATTCTTCTTCTCCAGACATGGGGGGAAATTATCTCATTATCGAGGCCCTGCTATGCTGTGTATCTGGGTGTGTTGTATATCCTGCTGCCAATGGCTTCATTAAAATGGTTTGGAAGAGCAGAGACTGTGCCTCTGTTTGACTGGGTTTGGTCGCAGTCATTTTCTGCTTGCTGGTCATCACTAGCTGGGCAGAGAAAAACCAAGGCATTTGTCTATGATGCGGTCCAGGAAGCCTCATTCAACAAGCTGCCTAAGTCCACCTCTTCTTGGAATAACCTCTAAAAGCTTCCACTTAGCAGGCTATGCTGAGGGCCAGGAAAACCCACCTACCGGCTTGGGCCCCTTCTCTTCCACTCTCATGCCACACCACGGGACCACCCAAACAGGAGCCCATACACATGGGTGGCAGTGACCTGCAGCAGACAGGGACCACACAGCAAGTGTCCCCAAAATGCCACCCATGTCTCCTGCCCTCCAGGAGCATTTCCTTTGCCTCTCCTCTCAGACTGGGTTTCCACTGAAACTGCATTGTCTCACAAATGCATGGCTGGGGACCACCCACCACTCTGCTGCCTGGCCCAGCCCCACGCCAGGCCTTTGAAGTGCCCAATCCGACACCAGGAGCAGGGTTGAGAGGAGGCTGTGGCCCCAGCAGGACTTTATGTTCCCATCATCCCGGATGTGAGAATGAGGAAAAAGGAGATGAGTTGTCTCCCCACGAGCCCAGAGATCTGACCGAGGAGAGTCGATGCCCTGAGCTCTCACCCGGAAGAAAAGACATGGGGCTCTCTGGGGTCCACAGCACACTGCGCTCTCCCTCCTGAGACTCCTGCTGCCAGAGCACCTTTCCCCAGGGTCAGGGATGCCGAGGGGAACACAGCTCAGAGACCACTCCCCCATCCACCCAGCAAGCACAGCTACCAAGACCCAAAGCTGAGGCTTACCAACGCCCGGGGGTGGGAGAGGGTTCCATCCCTGAATACCTCCATTGTTCCCCTATGCGTCTGACCCTCCCAGCCAGAAATACGTAAATCCTCTCAGCTACAACTCAGGCCTGCTTTTTTTCATAGGGAAGAAGCTACAGGTTGAGTATCCCTTCTCTGAAATGCATGGTACCAGAAGTGTATCAGGTTTTGGATTTCTTTTCTTTTTGAGTCGGAGGTAGAATATTAGCATTATACTTACCAGTTCGACATCCCTAATCAAAAAATCTGAAATCCAAGATGCCCCAGTGAGCATTTCCTTTGAGCATCATGTGGGTACTTAAAAAGCTTCAGATTTTGGAGCATTTCACATTTCAGATTTTTGAATTAGGGATACTTAACCTGTACCAGCTTTAATAGGTGACCTAGAGCACACCCCTGCCCTCTACAGGCTTATGGTGTCGCCACTTACGAAACGTCAGGTAGGACTGGAGGCTACCTCCCACTCCCTGCGCCTCTGATTCTGTGCCCCCTGTAGAATTAAGAACCAGTGTCCCCTCTCCTGGTCAGCCCTACTGAGGGAAGTCACAAAATCCCCAGTTCTTTCTAAGCTGCCCCATCTCTCACCTAAATACAATCCCCTTAAAAATCACCAAAGGGAAAGGGCTCAGAACTCCATCACAGCAGGGCCACCCTCACACATGGTAGGACCGTAGCACCTTCACAAAGGTGGGGTTTGCCACCTTCGGGGAACTCTGGGGGGCCTCTACCTCCTCACCAGTCTGACACAACACCAGAGATTCCACCATTGGGAATTTCTTATAATTAAAGCATTCTCTCCCCTGTATTAAATGAAAATGCCCCTGGGAGGGTTAATAGAGCAAGCCTTTATCAACCATTAAAAACTGAGGGCCAGTTTGTTTCTCTTTCTTTCCCCCCTGAAGTGGTAATTCATTTTGCTTTGTAGAAAAAAGATTCAGGCGAGGGAAGTGTGGGTGGCTGGGGAGGCAGGTCTGCTCTTTTGAGTTGGCTGCAGTGACATGGAGGTCATAGGGCTGAGGGAAGGAAACAGGAGCCTCAAAAGCAGTGAAGGGGTGAAAGATAGACCCCTGCAATAACCTTAGAGGCGACCCAGACTGCAGGAGACCTGCAGGAGGCCTGCAGGAGCCTGTGGAGGCCTGTGGAGGCCTGCCAGCCCAGTGCCCTCAGAGAGCAAGGACAGTCACTGGTCCCCCAAGGCCTCCCACAGATCTATGCAAGGTGATGCAGCAGGGGCTATGGACCCACCCACACCCAAGCAAGGAGGCAGGATGACAAGGTCAGGGCAGGTAGAGAGCCATCTGGAGAGCGGGCTCAGCTCCACCCCTGAGAAATTTCCATCTAAATCCAGGAGATCCTCTATTCAGCAAGAACCTTCCCTCATGTCTGAGGCTGTTAAACCTAAAGCCAGTTAGGGCAGAGGTCAGAGGGGTGGACCAGGAGCGAGTGGGTTGAGGCTGAGCAAGTGTTGGGGGTGGCGCCAGAGACTCCATCCATCTCCGACTGCTCTGCTCGCATGTCTGGCTCCGGGCCCACCTGGGATGTCAGAGGGAATTAGAGTGGCCTTGTGAGGAGGCTCAGGAGAAGGGCTCCTGTGCCCACTGGGCAGGTCAGCACTGAGCCTAGCACCACCACAATAGAGCCCTTCAGTGCAGAGGGCCCAGCTATAAGGAATGGGGCATTGCTTGGCCTGGAGGGAATAGGAAGCTGAGGAGACCTGGAAACACAGTCATGAAGAGCCCGGCCGTAAAGACCCACAGACCCTTCGAGCCAGGGCCATGGGCTGCAGCCACAGCTCTACCAGCCTGGACCCAACCTCAGGCCAACATCCCAGCAGGGAACATGTTACTAAGGCCAGTTGTAGAAGGGACTTCTCTGGACACATGCCCTACTGTCCCAAAAGACTTGAGCACAGGCCAGTCCCAAAGGCATAAGAATGGACTAAACGAGCTCTCATGGCCCCAGGCTTAAGATTCTAGAGGACTCTCTGAAACTTCACTCGGAGACCTGACCTCTGAGGGCAACTGGAGTCACAGCCACTCAGGAGAAACGGCAGGCTACGCAAGCACATGTTTCAGGAGCGTCCTGGTGGGGTCTTCGGCTCTGACAGAGCAACCCCTCTGCTGTTACCCTTACTGGGGGCAGCCATCTGAGTCTTAAGGGTTTGCTTATTTTTTAGGTCCACACATAAAATTCAACTCCCCTGGGATCATGTATACAGACAGACCTATAGCACCTTATTGTCAGGTAACATCCTGGTGAGGAAGTCCCCTGGCCTGTGTGCTCTGTGGGACGGGAATGTTCCTTGTCATCAATATGTCCCCAGGAACTAGAACAGTGCCTGGCACACAACAGATGCCATTAAATAAATAAGTGAATGACTCCTGCAGTTAGGCTCTGGGTGGGGGGAGCTGAGTGTGAGGAGTGGGGAGTACCGGAGGAAGGAAAGTGGGGATTAGTAGAGGAAGTGGTCAGGTGAGTCAATGTTTCACAGTTTTGCCAAGAGCTAAAGTAACTTGTCAAGAACTTCAGAACAAGCAAAACCTGAGTGGTGGCCCCTTGGTCAGGGCAGCCCCCAGGCAGGCACACATCTATCCAACAAAGCCTGGAGGACAGGGACTGTGGGAAAGCACGCAGGGTAGCTGAGGTAACTGTGTGACCACACCGAGGTCCAGGGCCAACAGTCACTTTATGTGGGTTCACCTCAGTTTCTCCATGAGTCCTACTCTAAAACCCATCTACCTCCTTGATCCTCCAAGACGAGCTTCTGACTGGGATGAGTCTGGGGGAGCAAGCACATGGAGATCCAGTGCTGTCATTCTGGCCGCGGGAAGGCTGCAGGACCACCAGCGCCCTGCGTCTGTGTCAAGGCCCCCTGGGCAACGCGGTGAGGGGTGGGGGGTGGAGGCCTCCTTTCACACAGAGACACACATGCCTGAGGCCTCTCTGCGTAGCACACATAGAGCTATATTTTGCAATTAATAAACAGGTCAGACATTGAGTCAGTAGCCACAAGTAGAACAGGAAGTGGAAAAAGTCTCCCACTTCCCTCCAGGTGTTTGGGGGCTGGGGCGGTCCCCTCCCATTTCCATGATGTCATGGTTACCAAGAGGGGCAAGTAGGGCACCCTTTGAAGCTCTCCCACAGAAGCCACATCCTCTGGAAAGAAGAGTTAAAAATACTGAGTTAGAGATAGCATCGTCCCAGGCCACGTGCCGAGGGGAGCAGGCTGGGCCGTTACACCACCCGCCAGCCGCAGGTGCAGCAAGGCCAACACGCCAGGCTGGGAGGGGCTGCCGGCCCCTCTGTGACTTGCACCGGGCCCGCTGCATGCTGGGGCAGTGCTGCTGGCCTCACTGCTGAGCCGCCTCCCTCACCGCACCTCTGCTGCCCCTCCAAACCAGCCAAGATCAGGCCTCGATCTCACCTGGTTAAGCGCTTACTTAGTACAGGACAGACCCTCAGGGCTCTCCTGGGAGGGAGGGATGTGGGGAGGCTGTATCTGTCCCCACACACAGCTAGGGCTGATTCTCTGAGGTACCCCCTTCAATAGCCCCCCCTTACCCTGATGTTTGTCCATTAGGTGATGGCCCTAATGGACGCCTTGATGGACACGTCCGGGACCCAAGGACCCGGAGACCAGGAATCTGTAGGTCTCCGGGAGCCGCAGAACCTGAAACCCAAAAATACCAGGCTTGATCATCAGCTCTTTGGTAGTGTCGCCATCCGCCCGCATGGGGGCAGCAGCGCTCCACCAAAAAGACCTCTCCTCCCTTAGTCTGTTAATTCTGGAGAGAGAAAGCCCCCAAGGTTTAGGAAAAGCTCTTTTCCGAGGAAAATAAAAGGGCGGGTGACTTTTATCCCACAAGTCCCTGCCCTGTGCCCGTCACTTTGCTGGGCGCAAGACCTGTGTTATCCTGTCACATCCCCAGAGAGGAGGGACTGGGTGCTGGGCCGGCAGCAGGGGGCGCTGCTCGTCCGGGAGCGTCAGACCCGCCCCACCTGGAGCCCTGCAGAAAGTGCAGAGGGAGGGCTGGGGGCCTGGAGGAAGCCCTGGATTCGGAATTAGGGTGGCTGGCGTCCGGAATCCACCACTTCATAGAGCTGTGCCTTTGGCAGGTCACTAATCGCCCACCGCCTCAGTTTCCCAGTGGGCCCAA